TAAGATTTTGGAAGGAAATGAATTCTGTCCAACAGTATCCCAACAGTGGTCAGTATAAATACAGCTCCTGAAGGCATCACCTTGCAGACACAGAAACTTGCTGCCACCTTCACCTTCATTCTGGTTGTTTCAGACTCCCTGTTTCATAGAATCCCAAAATGGTTTGGATTAGAAGGGATCTTAAGGATTATATAGTTCCAATCCCCCTACCACGGGCAGGGACATTTTCCACTAGACCAGGTTGCTCCAAGCCCCATTCAACCTGGTCTGGAATCCCTCCAGGGACGGGGCAGCCACAGCTGCTCTGGGAAACCTGTGCCAGTGCCTCACCACCCTCACAGCCAAGAATTTCTTCCCAATATCCCACCTATCCCTGCCCTCTGGCAGTGAAAAGCCATTCCCCCTTGTCCTGTCCCTCCATGCCCTCATTCATAGTCCCTTCCAGCTCCCTTGAGGCACCGGAAGGGGCTCTGAGGTCTCCCTGGAGCCTTTTCTTCTCCAGGCTGAACACCCCCAGCTCTCCCAGCCTGGCTCCGTAGGAGAGCTGTTTGATCATGAATAGTCTACATCCTAGTCAACATCCTAACCTGGACACATCAAATCCACACTGGCACAAGCCTTTCCCAGCTTATTAAAGGAATATTTTACTTCCTGCAAGATGAAGTTGTCATCAGTTCCTACTTCCTTATGAAAAATATACTAATTCCAAGTAGGAGGTTAAGGACTTTTATGTCTTAGACCTCTAATAAGCTCTGCAACACATCCCCGAAATATCTGATCCCTTAAAAAAGACAAGCAGGAAGCTCCATGATGTTGTACCTGGCATTGAAGGTGCCAGTCATCCATAGGGTCTTTCCACTGATTGATTTCCCGTTGGACAGCAGCTAATTCATCCTGCAGGAAGCACCACATGATAGCCACATTGCAGCCATTCACCCAGTTGTGGTTAATGGAAATTGTGTCCTCCTGAAGGAATGATTTAAAGGGTTATTAGGAATGATAATAAGGAATGGGTGAGAAAACAGCTGGAACACCTGTGATGCTCCAAAACTGTATTCCTTAGCAGGGAAATACTTTTGAGGCACCAGTATCAGCCCTGTGCTGGAAGGCTGTTTGTTTCTGTGTCCCCAGACAACCAAATCTTGTTTGGAGACAGGCAAATGTCTCTAGTTCCTCTGTCTGGGCATTTAAGAGCACATAGGTTGTGGGGAGAAAGGAATGTGCTAGTTAATTCTGGGCTGTAAACATAGAGAACAATTTGTTAGCATTTTTCATTATTAAATTAGAAATTACAGTTAGAAACCAAAATGAACAGTCTCACCATAGGTTCTCTCATCTGACCCTGAGTTCAGGTTTGCTTTTGGCCATGCCAGAATTCCAGAATGGGTTGGGTTGGAAGAGATTTTCAAGTACCAACCCACTGCCCTAAGCAGGGACACTTTCCACTAGACCAGGCTGCTTCAACCTAGCCTTAAACAGCTCCAGGGATGGGGCTACCACAGCTTCTCTGGGCAACCTGTGCCTCATCACCCTCAAAGGGATGAATTTCTTCCTAATATCTTGGGCAGCCACTGATCCAGGGTTCCTCCATGAATCTCTCTATTTTTTTTTGCAGCATAGTTAAAATTTTGGGATCCAAATTAAGCATAGAATCATAGAATTTTAGGGGTCTAGTCACAACCCTCTGCCCTGGGCAGGGACACCTCCCACCAGATCCAGTTGCTCAAGGCTTTACCCAACCTGGCTTTGAACACTGCCAGGGCTGGGGCAGTCACAACCTCCCTGGGCAACCTGTGCCAGTGTCTCACCACCCTCAGAGGAAAACACTTCTTCCTAGGATCCCATCTAAATTTCTCTCTTTCAATTTATCCCCATTGCTCTTTGTCCTATCACTCCAGTTTCTAACATATAGTCCCACTGCAGCTTCTTGTAGCTCCTTCACATCCTGGAAGGTTGCTATGAGGTCTCCACACAACCTTCTCTGGTAACCTACCAGGTTGTAAACCTGATGATGCCATCCACTGGGAATGAAGACAATCTCCCCTGCTTCCTGCACGATCTCCACAGGGGGTTGGCTTTGGTTGTAGCGAGGGTAAACACTCTTGTCCTGAAGATTGGGTGCAGTGACATCAAAAGGTAAGTTGCCATGAAGGTCCTTCAGGTATTCCTCCTGTCCTGCAGGATACAAGAGCCATTTCTTTCTGCCACATATATTTGCTGACCAGCTGTAGGAACGGAAGACATCAGCATGGAATGGTGTCCTGTGGGGAGATCAGAGGATTAAAGATAAAGCCTATAAACTCTTAGATGAATTAAAGCCACTGAGAATCAGACATTCTGATCCCAAACTTCACTGGATTTTGATCAATTTATGGAGTTTTAGCTATTAAAAATCCAATATACCCACAGAATACTAAGTGGTTTGTATCCTCTGTGCTTCTCCAGCTGTTAGTTTCCATTGAGCCCACAAATACCTCAGTGGCAGAAGATTCTGTGATGTGAAGTTATACTACAAATGCAACTCTATAATCAATACTGGGCTGATATTTTCACCTGCAAAATACCTGCCTGAGTCATCATTGCCTCTCTGAGGCTTCTCCTGACCTTGTAGATGATGATCTGGTGGGAATTTCTGCTCTAAATCCTGATACAAGCCAGATGACAATGTTTGCAGGTTCTGTGTGCAACATCAGGGCTTTTTTAGCTGACTACAGTAAGATCACATCCAGACCCAGATGAGCTGCTTGAGAAACAAGGCTCAGGTAGAACACCAGACACTGCCTCTGCAGCAGATAGCCTCTGTGCTATCCTGAAGGACAGAGTGATAATTCCCCAGGACATTAAACTGAAAAATGAGGATAGAAGATGGCAGAGACAGAGTCTTACCAGGAACCCTTAGGTCCCATGTAGACAAAGCGATAGTCATCCACAGCCACAGCATCCCAGTACTCATTGAGCCAATCAGAGGAGAAGTACACAGGAGTTGTGTAAACATCTTGCTCTGGGAAAGCTCTGGAAAAGATAAAGTGTTGGAAAGGAGCCTCAGGAAAATGTCATGATGCTCCAAAACCCCAATGCCAAAAGTAATCAGGCCTTAGCAGTTCATTAATACTTCACTGCCATCTCCTTTATCAGAGAATCCCAGAATGGCTAGAGTTGGAAGGACCTTAAAGCTCACCCAGTTCCACAAGGGACACCTTCCACCAGCACAGGTTGCTCCAAGTCCCATCCAACCTGGCCTGGAACACTTCCAGGGATGGGGCAGCCACAGTTTCTCTGGGCAACCTGTGCCTGAGTAAAGAATCCCTCCTTATTATCTACTATGAATCTCTCCTTCATACCACTGACAGCTCTAAGCTGGATGTGAAATGCACATGGTGGAGTTTTCCTGCCTCCCAGGAAAGCTGTGAAGGTTAACTGCTATCTGGGAGCCTCCTAATTATGGCAGTCAGTTCCTAATGAACACATTCTCTTCACATGAGACACCTCCAAGACTGGTTGTCCGACTGAAGATGGAAAGCCAGAGCAGGGAGAAGAGCACTTTACTGACTGGGAAGGTTAACAGAAAGTAAAATGGATAATAAATGATCATAACTCACATATGCTTATGGAATTAATCATAATTAAAATGTCCCTGCTTTTTAAGAAGGTTTGCACTGCAGCAGTCAAAAGCCAAATGCTCCAGGCACACAGTTTCCACAGGGAAAATATAGAATGAAATAAGAGAATGATTTGGGTTGGAAGGGACCTTAAAGCCCACCCAGTGCCACATCCTGCCATGGGCAGGGACACCCTCCACTAGACCAGGTTGCTCCAAACCCCATCTAACCTAGTCTGGAACAATTCCAGGGTTGGGGCAGCCACAGCCTTTCTGGACAACCTGTGCCAGTGCCTCAGCATCCTCACAGGGATGAATTTCTTCCATATATCCAATTTAAACCTCCTCTCCACCAGTGTGAAGTCAATGCCCCTTGTCCTGTCACTCCCTTGTAAATAGTCTTTCTCCATCTTCCCTGTAGGATCCTTCAGGCACTGGAAGGCTGCAATTAGGTCATCCCAAATCCTTCTCTTCTCCAGGCTGAACAATCCCAAGTGTCTCAGCTTCAGGAGATGAGGATCAAAGCTCTGTGAGCAGCACATAGAGGTTTTCCCCAGTGCTCTCTTACCTGCTCAGGTGCCAATCCTTTAGGTAGAGGCACCCTCGGGAGGAGCGATAGTCATTTTTAATGTACTCCTTCCAGTACTTCACATACTCCTTGAAGGGCAGCTGCTCCTTAGGGTTGGAATTGTATTCCTTGACATCACAGTTGGCCACAGGCACTACAGCCTCTCCTGAAATACAAGCTCAGGTGAGGACAGAATAGCTGATGCTGAAACTGAGCTCCCTCAGCCTCAGCCACTGCAGCAGCTTCAGATTTCTGGGCCTTCAAGTGTTCTCAGTACAATACAAATCCATAAAGCAACAATCCCTAGCCCAGTTCTCATTCCCAACACTGTCATTCCAGGCAAATATGATGCAAATCAGGTGTTCTTTATTTAATGTAACCTGAATTCTCCTATTATTTATTTAATGTGACCCCAATTCTCCTGTTATTTATTTCATGTGACCCAAATCTTCCTCTTATTTATTCAATGTGACCCAAGTCTTCCTGTTATTTATTTCATGTGACCCAAATCTTCTTTTTAAACTCCATTAGGAATGAGGTATTGATTAGTATTAAATAGATTAATACTTTGCAGCCTGAAGAGATATTTCATGGTCACTACAGAACACTTTCCCCTTGGAAAAGTGTCATTTTCCCACCTGAGGGAAGTACAAAACTGCTCCTCTGGTTAATGTTGAGCAGGTAAATAAATTGGAATGGGCAAATAATACAATGTTTTAAAACTTATTGCAATTGTGGAATTACAATTTGGGATTGGAATCTGCAAAACAAAGCGTGACTAAGTCTAGAAAATGAATGTAGGAGAAAAAGGTCTGGAAAACTGGTTTTGTCTAGTGGGTCTATTCCCAAAATTAAACCAAAACTGTGCCAGTTAGGATTTGAATCAGACACCAAAAATTCCATGTCTTACCAAACTTCTGCAGCAGATGATCAAAGTTAGGCTTCCCATCCCGAGTCACCCAATTTCTCCTGCCACCCCAGTCTTCAGTGAACTTGGCTGAGAAAACACAGGGATGGTTGGGAATCAAATAATCCCGGAAAAAATCCGAGTAAGTGAAGGAATCTACTTTTTCAATAAAATCAACGTGTCCCCCGGGGAGGCAAAATGCACCCTGAGCTGCTGTGCTGTGGTCACGGAAAAAGGCAGTGGAACAGGCAAAAGTGGCCCTGTCCATGCAGGCTGGATGCTCTTCCTGGCTTAGCCAAGACAGAGCAGAGCAGATCCTATCCTGTTATTCCACAGCAAAAAAAACCCAACACTGCTTTAAAACATGACTTGAGTCCCTAAACCTCTGAAAAGTCACAGGAAAAACGAGGTACAACAAGAGGTCATGCAGGAGCATCCCACCACGTTGGGATAATTAGGATCTTCCATAGTTTTTTGATGTTTGATGCCAGTTGGATATCTGACAACAGTCACACTACGGATGGGGAAGATGCTGCTTGGTCCTTGTCACCTTCTTGCCAGGGCTGGTTCCTTCCTAAAACAGCAGAAACATTAACTTCACTGGGATATTCTTGTGAAATTATTTAATTGCAGGGGTGTAGTGGAAGAAACTCCCTAAATATTTGGGGTCCTAGGAACATGCAGCAGTCCTGGGGCTCAGCCCTTTATCAGGAGAAGATACAAGCTCTGGCACCCTCTGCCTCCTCCAGACCTTTTGCTATGGGTCTGGCAGCAATTACAGGTTAAAAATAAAACAAGTAATAGGGAATAACAGGGAGGGAAGGGAGAAGACGGAGCACAGGGAGGGAAGGGAGAAGACGGAGCACAGGGAGGGAAGGAGGAGGCCTAAGGGCAAATAAGCCACATACACTGCAGGGATGGGTTCAGGGATAGGTTCAGGAGACACTGGGAGTAAAGGGGTGCTCATGGGGATTAAGGGACCACCATGAGGGGATTCCTCCTCACAGAACTCCTGGGGAAGCCCTGGACAGCACAGTGGATGCTCAGGGAGATTAAGGGACCACCACGAGGCAATTCCCCCCTCACAGAACTTTGAGGAAAGACCTGGACACTCCGAGTGGGTGCTCCGAGGGCATAATTCCTTTGCTTGACATTTGAAATAGATCAATTAATACACTCATTAAGCTGAGATAATCAAACCACTTGTAATTGTCCAATCTGATATCAGAATGACACCTATCAATTTCATAGTAAATGTCCCCAAAGCAAACGGAGAAATGAAGTAAAATAAAAGGAACTTATTCTAGTGACATTGTGTTGCTCTCTGCTCCCTCCTACAACTCTGCCCTATGCAGTGCAAATCCCAAGCTTTATGTTCAATTCCAATTTTCCAATGCAGTGGAACAAAAAAAACTCCTCATCTGATGCATATGAACACCATCAGAAATGGATGTTGGCTGTGTTTTACCCATCAGCTGATGCACGTGTTTCATAAACAAAAAGGAAGCCTATGTTAGGGAGCTCGGGGGGGTGAAGGGGCTGCCATGGGGGGATTCCCCCTCAAAGCACTCTAAGGGAAGACCTGGATATTACAGCCAGAGCTCAGGGGGATGAAGGGGCAGCCATGAGGGGAGACACGAGTTAGACAGAGCTGCAAGGGAACAACCAGAGACCACAGCATATGCCCAAGGTGATTAAGGAGCTGCCATGAGGCTATTGCTGCCTTACAGAGCTGCAAGGGATGCCCCAGACACCACAGTGGCTGCCAAAAGGGGATCCTCCCTCCCAGAGCTGCAAGGGAACACACAGACTCCACAGCAGATGCTCAGGGAATTAAGGGGCTGACATCAGGCCATTCCCCCCTCACAGAGCTCCAAGGAAAGACCTGGATGGTGCTCAGGGTGCAGAATTCCTTTGCTTGGTATTTGAAATATATCAATGAATAAACTCGTTAAACTGAGATAATCAAACCACTTATTATAGTCCAATCTGATCCATTACAAGCTCCAAGGGAACACTCAAGGCAGCACAGGGGATGCTCAGGGGATTAAGGGGCTGCCACGAGGGGATTTCCCCTCGGAGCTCCAGGGGAAACCCCAGACAGCACAGGGGATGCTCAGGGGGATTAAAGGGCTGCCATGAAGGGATCGTCCCTCACGGAGCTACAAGGGAACACACAGCACAGCGGATGCTCGAGGGGATTAAAGCGCTGACATGAGGCTGCTGCTCCCTCACAGAGCTGCAAGGGAAGCCCCAGACAGGCCTGCGGGCGCTCAGGACATTAAGGGACGGCCATGAGGGGATTCCCCTCACGGACCGCCAG